TTATTTTCATAGTACAATGTGTAATGTAGTTTTGAACTACATTATTTAATTGATCTCGTAATGTTAATTATTATATTATACTCTATATTCTAATATGTGGTGATTACTCAGCTTTTGCTGACGTGTGTGTTGTTTTGATGTGCTACTTGTGTTTGCGACCATGTCTTTTTCTTATGGTGGCCCTGCGACGATCTATTTTGGAATTTGTCCTTAATGGTGAGCAGTCAAGATTGTTTAAGCAAGTTAATCAAGTGATCGTAGCTAAAGGAGCTCAAGTGATCGATTAGTATGCTATAACGAGTTTGTAAAGTTGTAAATAGCTCACCTAGATTTATTGGGTTATAATTATTGGGATTTTTGTAAGCCTTAACACTTGACAAGTTGTCGAGTGTGGCGGTAATATCTCCGATTTAGGTGTATGCTTCCGCAATTTTATTTAAAGGTTGTTTATATTCCCTTTATTTATTGTTTATTAATAGCTAGTAAATCGGGGGTGTTACAGGTTTCTTCGTTTTTTACCTTTTATAAGCAAATAAATTAAGGTAGTAGTTCAGATTTGTTTTTGATGTTTTTATACAAGTTTGCATTTCATTTGATGAATTTCTATGCTACAATTTTGTGGGTTTATATGCTGCAATTTCGTGGGTTTGTTTGTACTTGTTTTTGCTGCAATTTTGTGAGTTTTATGTATGCAATTTTGTGTAATTTTATGTAATTTGTGTTTATTTGTTTGATTAATTTGTAATGTACTGCTGTGAGGTCGATGGGATTTGCATAGTTACTTATTAGCAATTTAGTTTTTGCCAATTACTAATTCTTCTCTTTGTTTGGTTTGTTTCTTTTTTCTAGGATGTCGATGATGAAGATTAGTCCTTTCGGGAGATGGATTTTGGATGTTCATATTGGATATATTGTCGTTATTTTTTTTTTTTGCTTGGTCATTTGTAACATCATACTTTTTTTTTAATGTTTGGATTTTTTTTTTCCAAAGACAATATGCGTGTTACTTTGTATTTTTAGTTGTATAACTCTAATTTATGTATTGAACTTGGTTGAAATGTGTTTTTTTATTACATTTGTTTCTAAAAAGTGGCAAAATGTGCAGGACCCGTTTTGGACCCGGACCCGGATCCATTGGATATGTCGGATCTGGATCCGGGTCTTCATTTTCTAGACCCGACGGATCCGGGGCGGATCTGGATCCAAGGTTGAAAAACGGATCTGGATCCAGGTCCATTCGGACTCGGTCCAGATCCGACCTGTTGTCATCCCTATCTTCAACAGAATGAATCTCATTTTCAGCTCCTCCTTGCTCTATTCTTCCCTAAACAGAAAATTGACCATAATTTGAAGTTAGACACTTCAAATTCACAAGAAAAACACACACAACACCATCAATAACACATACACATTTTCACCAAAACCTCCCTTGTTTTACTACGCAAAACAGAACATGTAATCAAACCCTAGCTTAAAATATACAACATGCAATCAACATCCACCAACAACTGTAATACCCCGTATTTTCATACGTATTTTCTAATTAATTAATTAAGAAGTATTTTTATAAAAAGAGTATTTTAGTAAATTTATTATTTGGAGCCAAAATAATATTTGAATTTTGGCGCCAAAAGCATTTTGAAAACTAATCATTATTTTTGATAAGATTTATTATCCATTTATCCTATCTTAAAAACCGGATTATTTACATATTTCGGATATTTTAATTAAAGCAAAATAATATTTTAATTAATTAATTATTATGGCCGAAATTACCTAAAAACTAGCTAGGATTTTCGGATTTTCCATGTATGGAAAATATGATTTTTCTTGGTTATTTATTGGTAAATAATTGGTATTTAATTAATTAATTATTTAATTATTATTCTATATTATTTATACAATTATTTTATTCCTTAAAAACCGAGCAAAATCTTCCTAAATAAATTTATAGAAGTCTGAAAATTTGAGCTATGGTAAGCTCAATATTTTCGGCCCTATTAAATTATTTTGGGGGAATTTAATTGGTAAAATTATATTTTTAATTATCTCCCAAAATATCTTATTTTCCTTAATTCTAATGCTCCATCTTTTTAATATATAATCATCTTATTTTCTTGCCAATCATTCTTCTTAATTATTCCCCAAGTAATTCTAATTTCCTTATTATTTTTATGACATACATACCTTCCATATTCAAGTATACACAATCACTTTAATATCCAAACTTTCCTTAATTCTTGTACTCACTTCTCCAAGTAATCCCATAAACCCTACTTGCCATAATTATTTTCAAATTCTCTTGCCATAATTCTTGCATGAGCTAGCCTATAAATACCCCTTCATAACTCTCACATTCTTCACACCAATTCTCTTCTTTTCTTCTCCTCAATTTTACACAAATTATCCCGTTTATCTTTGAAGCCAATTTTCTAGAACTTCTGGTCAGTTTTGGGATATTGACGTTTCACAGAAAATTGTTCCTCTCGAAAAATCCTTGAGCTTAGGTTCAAGATTTACCCAATTCGGAGTTATAACAAAGGATTTATAGCCTCTGCAAGTTCTGCATATTCTTTCCAACGCAAATTATTTTCAGGTGGAGTCATGAATGAGCATAGGGGAGTCTAGGGATTTGCTTCACCTAGTTTAGTAACATTGTTATGAGTTCTCAAAATAAAGACAAGACCAACATTCCTAAACTAGGTGAAGCAAATCCCTGGACTCCCATATGCTCATTCATGACTCCACCTGAAAATAGTCAACACTGCTTACCATTACGGTAAACAGGGAGAACCAAACCAAGGAAAAGAGAAGAATTGGAATTGCGTTGGAAAGAATAGGTAGAACTTGCAGAGGCTATAACTCCTTCGTTATAACTCCGAATTGGGTGATTCTTGAGCCTAACCTCAAGGATTTTTTGTGACGAATTTTTTTTTTTTTTGTGAAAATCCAATGCCCCAAAACTGACTAGAAGTGCTAGAAAATTGACTTCAAAGATAAACGGGATAATTTGTGTAAAATTGAGGAGAAGAAAAGAAGAGAATTGGTGTGAAAAATGTGAGAGTTATGAAGGGGTATTTATAGGCTAGCTCATGCAAGAATTATGGCAAGAGAATTTGGAAAGAATTATGGCAAGTAGGGTTTATGGGATTACTTGGAGAAGTGAGTACAAGAATTAAGGAAAGTTTGGATATTAAAGTGATTGTGTATACTTGAATATGGAAGGTATGTATGTCATAAAAATAATAAGGAAATTGGAATTACTTGGGGAATAATTAAGAAGAATGATTGGCAAGAAAATATGATGATTAGATATTAAAAAGATGGAGCATTAGAATTAAGGAAAATAAGATATTTTGGGAGATAATTAAAAATATAATTTTACCAATTAATTAAATTCCCCCAAAATAATTCAATAGGGCCGAAAATATTGAGCTTACCATAGCTCAAATTTTTGGACTTCTATAAATATATTTAGGAAGATTTTTCTCGGTTTTTAAGGAATAAAATAATTGTATAAATAATATAGAATAATAATTAAATAATTAATTAATTAAATACCAATTATTTACCAATAAATAACCAAGAAAAATCAGATTTTCCATACATGGAAAATCCGAAAATCCTAGCTAGTTTTTAGGTAATTTCGGCCATAATAATTAATTGATTAAAATATTATTTTGCTTTAATTAAAATATCTGAAATATGTAAATAATCCGGTTTTTAAGATAAGATAAATGGATAATAAATCTTATCCAAAATAATGATTAGTTTTCAAAAGGCTTTTGGCGCCAAAATTCAAATATTATTTTGGCTCCAAATAATAAATTTACTAAAATATCCTTTTTATAAAAATACTTCTTAATTAATTCATTAGAAAATACGTATGAAACTACGGGGTATTACAACAACACTAGCATAATCCAACAACAAACAACAACACATCAACAAATTTTACACAAAAAACACAAGAAATCGACATCATCAATTTCGTTCAAAAAAATCCACAAAAACGCAAACCCTAACTCGCAACTAACATCTTCAATTGGCCAAAAAATTCGAAATTTATATCAAATTAAGAACAAAAAGACAAAGTAATAAAGATTACCTCAAAAAATGGCTGCGCTAAGTGTCGTTTTCCCTAAATTGGGCCCGAAAATTGCTCGTGTTCTTCAAGTAAGCTTCGAATTTTTTCCAGAAATGGAAAGAATAAAAAAAGGAATAAAGGAGGAATAAAGAATGAAAGGGAGAATAAAGAATCAGAAAAGGGAAAAAAATTGGGTGACCCGCACTTTTTTTAATATGGGTGGGCCCCACTTTCAGTTAACCCAAGGTACTGAATTGTTAACCAAGGGTACAAAATTCTTAGGGGAAATTAATTTTTTTGGTCGGAAAATGGTACTCAGCACCCAAACCGTGAAAAAAAATAATTTAGTACCTAAACGGTGAAAAAATGTAGAATTGAATACCCAAATTTGTGCTTAACTCTAATCATTAATGTGAAGAAAAAAAAGGGATGATGTCACAAATAATTTAGGTGGGAAAATTTTTCATAGAGAGTTTACATGTAGGCCATGTTTGGTAATTGGCTTTTTAATGGATTTTTGGTTAGCTTTTGGCTTTTTTAGGTGGTCAAACAACCAAAAAATGTGTTTGGTAATTGGCTTTTTAATCAGCGAAAAAGCTGGCTTTTAAGCCAAATGAAAAAGCTGCTTTGAGTAGCTTTTTTGTTGGCTTTTGGCTTGTTGGCCCACAAATTATCTAATAAACAGCCAACAACCAACAATTAATTTACCAAACACTTTTATAAATAGGTAGCTTAAACAGCCAATCTCAAAAGTCATTATAAACAGCCAAACATCCCAACTAGTCAAACAAGCCAAGTGAACCAGCCAACAGCCATTTGCCAAACAAGGTCATATCCTTTAATGATATCATCATGTTTTGTTTTTAGTAATAGTTAATAGATTAGTCGTATTAGTGAAATGTATTTTTTTATATAATTGTCTTCCTGTTAAAAAAAAAAAAAAAAAAAAATTGCTTGGAATTTCAAATTGCAATTAGCAAAACCCCCAATTGATCTTAAACCCTAACAAAAGAAAGAACAGCAAAAACCCACCCTTCATCATAATCCAAAAATGGCTTACAGAATTCTGGGTACCATTCGAAACAACTCCTCTTTCTTCTTCTCTCACCTTCACTGTCACCAAACTCCATCACAGTACCGTTCGATTTTCGCCACGTCGCACCTTGATGGCTCATGGATGGACTCGATTAAAGGGGTTTTCACCGGCAAAAAACCCACCTCTGATTCGGTTTCTACCGAAGATAAATTCACCCTTTACAGTAATTTCTTAATTCCTTCCATTTTTATGATATGGGTCTTCTTCAAATTTCTATTTTTATACTTTTTTTTGAAGTATTTTTGACACAAATTAATGAAATAAATTGTTATATTGGTATGATCAAGCAAGCATTTCTTTTAACATTGTAACGAAACAATCTTAACAAAATGATGCTATAAATGCATTGTCGTCGTGTTGATTTATTACTGCCTACCAAACGGGCAATGGGTTGTTGGGGTTATGGGGATTAAGCTTTGTATCATGCTAGTGATGCTACATTGTTTGATTGATACTATTTGCAGCTGGAAGTTACATTATGCTACTTGTATGTTTGTCAGAGAGTTTGATTATCTTGTGTACTTTCATTTGGTCACTGAAGGTTTTGCTGATGAGTTGGGTAAGGCGAGGAAGTTGGGATCTTTGAAGCAGTATGTAGTTGGTCGGAGCAGTGAAGCGACGTTTGCTGATGCTTTTGAGAAGCAGGAAGCAATTCTTCGATATCTTGCCAACTTTGATCCAAATGGAGAGGTGAGAGATATTATTCCTTGTATAATTTGTATATGTACACCCTCATTCAGAAAGAATAGTTACATATACAGTTTTGGGATTTGCAGTAAATCTCTTCACATCTTCAATAAGTAGCTGTACCCCTACCTTAATTAAGCGACGGGGAAGTGTGTGCTCAAGGCGAAACTATTTTAGAGTGTCTTTAGTTAAATCATGCCATATTGTTAAGTTTGGGACAATGTGGTGACTTCTTGAATGTATAGAGTTTTTTTTTAGTATACTAATATAATGTTAAAGGAATGAGTGAATTTTTTTCTTTGTTTTGTATGTAGATCTGCTGTTGGAAATTGAAAACTTAGACTTGCTGGATAGGCCTACTGTACTTATTCCAACGTGCATCACAGTATTCTTTATGTAGTTGGTACTTCAACTGGATCATCTCATTCCTTGGAATTTTTTTATGAAGTAAAATCCTAACCGATGGTTTAATGGTCAAGTTTCTCTTCTCTGGTGTTTCTGTGGGAGGGCAGGGTATCAAGATGTTTAGTAGCTACTTGGAGAAGTTCTACTCTTTTATGATCCTTGAGTTTTGGTCCCAAAACCCTCCTATTGTCTTTATTATTGTCTTTCTTTGTGCATGGAACTTTAAGCCTCATATCTCAAGTTATGTTTTGATTGAGTCTTTGCTATGTTTTTCCACTGATTGTAGAATCTTCAAATCAGTCAAAAACAAGAAGCAGCAAAGCAGTGCAAGTGTACGATAGCTGATGTTGAAAATACTTTGGCAAAATATACGTGGGCTAAAGAAGCTCAGTATAAACTACAGAAGTTAAAGGAAGAGGGAAAACCAATGCCAAAGAGCATGGCCGAGGTATTGTTTCCTTCCTCGGTCACTTTTTGTTTTTCCTAAATTTTTGTTTTTATCTATTCATTGATCCTTCTTTAGCCATTAGCATTTTCTTGAAACCTTGAATATTCAGTGTTTGATTTACATGTGCATGACATGAATAGTTGGAGAACATAGAAAATCATAATTTTGATTACATGAATGTTGTGAAACGATCTTTCTGACATATACAGTTGATAATTTATATAACGGCTATGAATCAAGATGACTCTTAGGTGCTTAGCTATTCTCACTAGAACGTAGATTTTAGGGAGTTTAGAAGAAGGTTGTTAAAAATTAATGAAGAATTTGGTAATCAGATTTGGGAAAATTACTTAAGTAGGATTGTATTGATAATAATCACGTTCAATTTCTTGGTGCTCTCCCAATCTACAACTTCTTTCTCTACTCTTATCAACACTCAACATAATCCTCTCACCCATATGCTCTACTGATGGAACTTTTCCTCAAACAAACTACATATCCTATTCTTTAAGCTACTTCAAGCTACTAACACGTCAATCATAAATGTTTTACCAAACCTTCAAGCAAGTGATATATTGTCCATATGAACATGCATGAGGGTTACCAAGGGAGAATGATAGGGTCACCTTGACAAAATCTTATAAAATTACATTTTAATCTACTTTTTTGTATATATATGACTAAATAATTTGAGATTTGACTATCGAATGTAAATTTGGTATGGTTAAGGGTATACTTATAAAACTTGAGTCTAGCCAATTTGAGTGAACTCCTCCACATACAATATGTGAGAATACTTGTGTCCAAAACTGCTTCTGATAATGTGTAGCTTGTCTATTATGCTTCAACGATACTCCTTCTGCCCCTTATGAAGTGTTACATGTACCTTTTTGGGATGTTCCTTATCAAGGGAGAATGATAGGGTAACCTTGATGATTGACTTGTGACGGAAACATTGTTATTAATGCAAAATTATTAGGAAAGTTTAGCATATATGACACCAACTATAAGTCTATAACTTGCGTGCAAGGAGCAACACAAGCTAAAGTGATTGTACTTGTTAGCATCTATTAATCAAATGTATCATTTTTCCTTTTTTCTTTCTCACGTTAACTTTTTTTCTTCTCTATCGTCACATTGATCAACCACTGCCTGCATTGGTGATTTACAGTTTCAACCAAGGCAACTATACTGATTTGGTTAAATCTATTGCGGAGACTACATATTTGTGTTATGCAATGTGTATAAGAAAGGGGTAGTATTGGATGTCCAGCATAATTAGCATAGCATGGACAGAATGCTAGGGAGCTAGCTAAATAAATGAAAAGAATTAGTGAGAGGGAAAGCATGTTGAATATTGTGATAAGTGACTAGTTTGTAGATTTGGTAGTGTTATTCCTCTCGAAAGATGGGCAAGGCTGTAATTTGCATTATTTCAGTCAAATATAGCTTGTTCTTCAATAATCATCCTTCTTACTTCCTTAATCCATCTTTTTAGTCCATAATTGGTGCTTAATCTATGTTAATTTATAACAACATGATTACTTGTTGAAGGACTCAAATACCGAATGGTAGAGTAGTGATAACATGATTATTGAATCAAGAAACTGTGTTGGAAGGCAATACGTCTTTCTCTACAGTTGATTTTACTTCTGCTATTTTATTCAAATCTCTGGGACCTCTATGGGTGGAAACTTCAGGGACCTCTATGGACATGACATCTTGCAGACTGAAGATTGAGAGGTTTAGATATATATAGCTTAGACAATTATTGAACTGGGATCTGAAGATTCTGACCTGAAATTAAGTAGACATGATTTGTCTATTTGTGCAACTTCCTACCAGTTTTTCTGATCGCAAGATGCGAGCAAACTGAGAACTAAAGATTTTACACTTTTGTCCCCATCAAATCTGTATTATATTAACTAATGGATGTATGACACTGTCACGTTCAGACACACCTGTGTTTACTTTAATAGGGAAAGGATATAAGGATGGTCCTCAATAGTTTGTTGCAACTGATTAAACTTCTGTTTGTTATTGATTTTTGACCAGTTTCTCTGTGTAGGTTCAAAAATTGATGGGTTCAACACCTCTCGATCGTGCTAAATCAAATATGGCTCAGACTGGTCAGATTAGTCGGAATGCGTTTTGTCCATGTGGTTCCAAAAAGAGATACAAAAGGTGCTTCATCGACTATCACTAACACTTATTTTTTATTTTATTTTAATTTTTATATATATATATATATATATATATATATATATTCTGAATTAAGATTCATCAGTCGGCCTTCATTTACGAGACTGTGACTGTTTTTTGCGCGAATTGTGGATGAGGATTGTTTACTGGGTTCAGAATTTCAGACCAGAGATACTGTAATCCTACACAAGCATGATAAATCTATCCCTGAAGGCTGAAGTCATATAGGTTTAGGGTTTTCTTGTCCAATTAAGGGGGCATTTTTGGGAGACAGATGCATGAACATATTCCAGCTATTGATGCTTTTAAGTGTTTATTTCTGGGAAGAAAAATCATATCAGATCACTAGAAATCAGATCAGATCATGAAGTTAAGATACATTTGTTACTTTCATATATAAATTCTTATAAAAAATGAATTAAGTTTGATCTGAAAAGATAAGACAACATCAATTAAAAGTCAAAATCACATCAAAGCAGGTGAATTCATTGCCTGAGATGGGGATAGTTTTCCCAAGTCCTACACAGTACACATCTTGTAGATTTGGGATGAATCTCCCCTATACTATCACAGACTAAACTGGATGCGGTTTCTTCATTGTTGAATTCTTGTCACATATTTTGAGAACAATTATATCTGTAGTTATATCTGTGGCCTTGCTTGCAAGCTGCAAGATTGTTGCAGAATTTTACGATTCCATTAACAATATACTGAAATGCATCCCATAGTAATACCTGTGTTTTATTTATGGCTTTTGTGAAGGTGCTGTGGAAAAGACAAGTAGGTGGCTTGCAGAGAGGATTATTCCAAAATGCTCCATCAACTGATCATTGTGTTTGGAGGAAATAATTAGTACTCAACACAAATCACATGACTTGATTACTTTCTTGTTTCACTGCAATTAGGTATGTTCGCATTCAGGACATGAATTTCATGATAATTTCAGGATATGTCTAGAAAGGCTGTGCCTTAATTCCTGAAGTACTTGTTGGTGCTCTGGGTTGAATAGTTGATGAATCGAAGAGTTTTTGAGGAAAAGTCTTTCTTGAAATTATACTAGTAATTTTTTTTGTTGCCCAATGTTTCTCCATATTTGTTAAATTTGTCAGAGAAGAATTTTACTTGTTCTAGAGCTACCTCATTTGTTTATGATTACTTAGTAAATTATATGATGAAATTGCTCTTGATGGTATGGAAATTTTGAACTCCAGGCGTTGGAACTGCTGCATATGCAAAGAAAACTTGTATACTCGGTGCTATGGTGATGTTGGAGGAAAGACTTGACTACACATGTTGATTGTGTAATTCATAGAATAACTATTTTTTTTATCTCCAAGATAGCTAATACAAGCATACCACAGTTCAGATGTTCAATTCAATTTGTTGAATTTGCAATTTCATATATTGTAATATACTGTTGCGCAATATCTGTTGTGCAATCAAACTATATATTTATATGATTATATCTTTACGATTGAAGTTAAACATAAACCTAATGGATAAAAGTAACCATATACGTCTGCAAGCAATTGCTTTCATGCACCTGCTGAATATCATTCCTGGGAACCTTATCCAATCTCCACACAGCAAGCAAGAAGGCACTTTACATTTTCTTGTTTACGATAAAAGGTTGCTACTGGTATACCTTTTCTGTATCTACGAAGACTAAGATACTAGACCAGTAAAGCTGAACTTCCAAATCGTTCCTGCAAGTCTAATGTATGGCCTGAAGACATGCCTGAGCTTCAGGTTGCAGGGCCGATTGATCATAGATAAACCCTCCTTGCCAACACAGATGAACCCTTGTGTCTAGATTGAGTAAATTTCCCTTCTTGTCAACTCTAATAGATCAACAATGTTATCGTCCCTTGGAACTTGGACAAGCTTGATGAGGTTCTTAATTTGCCTACTAGTGATTTGAGATTGACTTCTAAATACTGGTCGACTATACCTCTTTGGGGAAGTTTGGCTGATGAAAGTGGCTACGAGTCGAAGAGGAGCTCAATAGCTTTAATTCGTCATCTAGTTGTTACATCTTTCAGTTGTTTGCAAGTACCATTGTTGGTCGATAAGAAGGATGCTGAACAGCTGAATTCACAAAGATGAGCTATTCATCCTTCATGCTTAATTCACAAAGATGAGCTATTCATGCTAGATTCACAAAGATGAGCTATACATGCTTCATCATATGCTTCATGCTCAACCAGTTGTTACAAGTGTATGTAAATTGTTGTTATTGAAAAGTCTATGATGACTTGCAAAGTTGCAAACGAGGTTGAGGGATCCATTTGAAAATTATTAATTGAGTAGTTGAAAAGTTAAATTACATTTGAATATTAAATTTAGATTTTGAATGTAAATTTAGAGGGGTTCATTAAATAAAGATACCTCTTTAACCAATTAGAGAGGAGTGTATAAGATACCTTTGTACACTGAGTGTACATGTATCATCTCTCAAATTTTGTTGGTGATTTTTAGCAATCCTTAAAATTTACAAAAACATTGAACTCTAATTGGCATATTTGGTTATTGGTAATAAATGGTGGTAATGGAAATGATTTTACAAGTAACTTTATAAAGAAGATTTCATGTCAATGCCCATGATAATGTTAATCCTTCCTTAAATACCTCACTTTTCTTCGCAACTTTTCATTATTGTATCATTTACTATCGTTTTAAAAGTAGTTGTGGTAATGAAATACTATGAACAAAAACATATGTTTGTAGGTGTTCTAATTTATGACTGCTTATCAAACGTGTTGTAAGTGACATATTTAATTCTATTAGAATATAAACTACTAGGAAATTAGTGGGGAGAATTTGGTAGACAAGAATTCTATTCTTAGTGACATATGACATATCTAATGTTGATGTAATCACCTAATTTGACTTAAATTTGACTTTAATTAGGGTATCAAATGAGATTTTATTGAATTTGTTTAATAGTGTATTTTTTAAAAATAAATTTCATAATTTTAACAAATACTCCGTATGAAACTAATCATATGATTAAAAATTAACTAAAAAAAACTAATCATATGAAATTATGAATTATGAAATAACAAAAATATATATACTTCGTCTGATCTTAACTTTTCTAATCAAAGTCTTAAATATCAACCTATTTTCGCTCTCAATCTTTTCACTCTCTCTCTCTTATTCATAGAAAAAAAAAACCCAAATCAATTTTGCCCTAATTTCTATCTTTTCTAATCTCAATTACTCTCACTCACCTGCATATTTGATTTTCTGATCGATCAATTCGCTAATTCACTTCTTCGAGGTGCGATTTCATCACTCAATTTTTTAATTCATCTGCTCTTTTTCTTTAATTCAAATATCTTAAACCCTAACTCACAATTCCAAACACGTTTCGTCGATAAATTCCCCCAAATCCGTTAATTTTATTGCAATGGATCTGGAAACTGAGAATCGAATAGCAGCAATTCTATTGAAAGAAGCTGCAGAAATTCGGCGGCAAGCTCAGCAAGATGGTGCGCTTGCTTATCTTCGCAATCCTACTGTTCGAGGTCGCCCTAATTCTCGCTTTCTTACTGCCACTGTTCGCGGAATCCAACAAGGTATAAACTGTCTTTCTCTCTCTTCTTTTTGTTTTCATCAATGAAGGATGATCAGTGAAATTACTTCTTAATTTTGCTACAATTGATTGTATTTAATTTTAACAATTTGATATGTTTGGCAAATTGGGTTATTGTGTTAGTTTTGATTGTGCTATTAACTTAGTATTGGTTATGTATTGAAATGCTCGTGATCCGATTATTGTTTTTCCGATGGAATTTCTGTTGTTGTTACTTTGTAGTGAAATATGGGTTGATGCTGCCTCTACGTGCTTAGGAGCGCTTCAAGGTTCAAGATGACCTTGAAGTTATCATTTAGGATGCTTTTAGTGTGATAATGTGATTGGAGGTTACAGAAGGGAATGAAATTGAATCGGAGAGGGAATATTCGCTACTTTTATGGATGTGGTATTGCAATGGAATGACATTAAATTAAATTAGAAGAGTGGGGAGGGAAGTTGAGAAGGGTTATATGATGTATTACCAACTTACCATGTAATCGAGGAGGGTAATAGATGGATGGAATCAGTTATTCTCTGAAATTGTTACTATACCACTTAAACCAAACAACTTATAATGGATATAATTTAGTAATTCTGTTGCTAAATTTTTATAATCTGCGTACCAAATATTCGTCAACTTTGTATCTCTGACCAATATGTACACATAGATAACATCCGCTGTGACCAACATTAATCCTTGTGTCTCGCTTGCCTTCAACTCATTGTCAATTGCTGCATTTGCCGTCACACCCTACAACATTCCTCCTCCTTTTAAAGTAGTTTCATTTATTGCTATTCTCTTGTGATCGGATTTCATATTGTTGCATAATAGCTGAGTATATTAGTCTCTGATGTTTGTGCTGGATTTATCTCACTTATGCCTGTATGGCCATAATGTCATACTTCTACTCCTATATTGGATGGATTTTACTGCTAATGTATCATTAAACGATTGAGAGATTGAAAAGTTTCTTATTGGGTTCAAGCACTTATGCTCTTGAGTTTTGTTTGTCTCTTCTTTGGATCATAGATTAGAAATTTGTTTGGTTCAGTGTACTTGAAGGGTCCATGTTTAATCAATCAATAATCAATAACATAATAACCTGACGATTAAATTTATTCTTTTACTTCAACCATTGACAACTGATGATGAATGTGAATCAAACAAATGTATTTTTTTTACTAGACATCATTTGGAGTTACTGAGTTGGGTTGTGTTGTGGACTCCAAGTCTATTTTACTTAAAATACAATGAAATAAATTAGATGAATGAAAAATAATAATTGTAAAATGATTAGTGATTAACTACCTTTGTTCATCATTCTACTTAATTTATATTTTATTCAATTTAATTATTTTTTGTACTGTATTACTTTTTGTTATTCATAAATTAAATAGGTCTCCGATAATTTGTTCAATATCTTTGATAAATTTTAATCATATTTTGTTTGTTATATAGAATTGGGTTATTAATGTATAAGCTGTTTAATTTTGGACTTATCGTGCGTGGCACGGGTCCTAAACTAATTTGTAAATATGTATATGCTTACATCTTTCTGTAGCTGAGAAATTTGGTATAGTTCTCTTTGTCATGAATATTTGTAGATAGATTTAACTATTAGATAACCATTTGTTTACATATTCAATTGACGGCTTAGAGCTTAGAACTGTTAATGTTATTCTGACAGTTAATCGGGCTGTGGAGGTAAATGAAATGTGGCGGGTTCGGCAGAAGGAGAAAGAGCTGGATGATAGGCTTAAAGATAGGTCAAGGGATTATTACAGATACAGTAGCAGAGATGAAAAAAGAGATTTGGCTGGAAGCCAGAGCAAGAGGCATAGTTCAAATTCGTCATGCTCATCAAGCAAAAGATCATATGAAGATTACTCTAAAGAAGACGAAGACAAAGACGAAGACGAAGGCTTGAAGGATGAAGAGATTGAGGAGTTTCTGCACTCAAGGTCTTATATCCAGCTCCTGCATTCAACTTGCTTTTTTCTCCATATGTTTCTTAGTTCCTACCCCATTTTCCCCAACTGTGTGATAGTGTTAGCACTCGTTAAATGAAATACTTTATTTGCGATGCTTCCTTCTCTTTTCAATATCGAAAGAGAGAGAGAGAGAGAGAGAGAGAGAGAGAGAGAGAGAGAGAGGGGGGGGGGGGGGTTCTTTACTGCCTTCTTATTACTTTTTTTCTTTTCCTTTTCATAGCAGGCTTGACCTGTCCCATTTTAAAATTTCTATTCTATGCTTTAAAACAGAGTCTAGCAAATCTTACATGTTCTGAAATGTCAGAATTACTGTATGCTGACGCTGCCCCTGTTATAGTTGCATATTCTCAACCATAAAAAGAGGACATATCTCCAAATAACTACTCCATATCTTTTTTGCTACTTTTTTTGAGAGTCTGACGCTGTAGATTTATGCTATTAGGAATTTGTGAATTGCAGAAAGTGAAGTAAAATTATAACTACTTCATCTATGAAGTATACAAATGTGTCTATGTGATGACTTATACTTTGCAGAGTATACTTCACTTTTCTTTTTTCAATAATGCTAAAATTTTTTGTTTTACATTTCTCATGGAATTTATGTTTGTCATCATTAATAGTGTATACTTTGTATCACAAGTATGTATTGTTGTCCTTTGGGGGATTTTGAATTTCATTTTTCATCTGTTGTTTGCGACATATCTTCTCTTGGATTTTTTTTTTTTAAAAAAATATCTTTTTTAACATGGCGTCAGGACCTCCAATCTCCCCCCCCCCTTCCCCCCCAAATATGATACATTTGGATCGGAATTCATTAATTATTTACTCTTATGATGAGATGTGTCAAATTACTAACCAGGGTTTCTGTTGATGGCAGGGTGAAGCGTGGTAGGGGTTCTATAGGGTCAAGGATGGATGAAACTGGTCCTTTTCTTCCCCGTTCTTCAGAATCTCCAGATGGTGTGGCCACTGACTATAGCAAGGATGAGAGGCGTCATAAGGCTGTTCTTGGTCCAGAGAAGCCCTCATCTTGGAAACATTGTGAATCTTCTGATGAATCATCTGACGAATCATCTGACAATCATGAGCAAAAGAAAAAGAGATCCAAGAAGACTAGTTCAGGAGGATCAAAAAAGAAACACTCCAAGAAGCATAAATCAAAAGAGAAGTCAAGGGATAAGAAAAGGAGAAAGAAGGACAAACGACATAAACACTAACTAAGCTAAACTGCAACTCTTGAATTTATATCGAGGGTTCAATTCTCTTTGATGTTCATATATCATGTTCCTATTAACAATTGAACAATGATTCTCGATTCCTGGCATGCACGATGTTACAAGTGTACTTTTTTTTATTTTGGTGTTCCATTGTATGTAATTATGTAGATGCAGTGGATACCAAAAAGTATCAATGTAATAAGCAGCAGCTGGTTTTTGTACAATTTTTTGTTAATATAATGAGTTTGATATTGGCTACCTTATAGGGGTGGGACTTCGGTCTGGCAGTTCGGTTTGACCTCAGTTTGAAACGGTTTCGGTTTGAAACGGTTCGGGTTAAAACGGTTTCATTTAGACGGCGGGTCGGTTCAGTTCGGTTTTGATTAGTCATAGGTCGGTTCGGTTTCGGTTTATTTTTGTACGATTTAAATTCGGTTCGGGTCATAAACGGTTCGGTTTATAAACAGTTCGGGTCATAATCAGATGGGTTAGAAACGGGTCGCTTCAGGGGCGGATTTACTCGGGTCAATGCCGGTTCGGTTTTTAAACGGTTCGGTTAATAATCGGGTCGGTTTGAAACAGGTCGGTTCAGGGGCGGGTTTACCCGGGTCAATGCCCGTTCGGTTTATAAACGGTTCGGGTCATGATCTGACCGGTTTGAAACGGATCGGTTCAGGGGTGGTTTTACCGGGTCAACGTCGGTCCGGGTTCATATCGGTTCGGGTCATGAACGGATTATTTTGAAATGGGTCGGTTCAGGGGCGGGTTTACCCGGGTTAATGCTAGTTCGATTCATATCGGTTCGGTTTATACTCGGTTTGATGCTAAAATCGTTCGGGTTAGTTTGGTAATCGGTTAAATTGGATCGGGTTGAAATCGAGTTCTAAAAAGTGGTTTTGACCAGTTAGCGCGTTTTGTTTTATATCAAGTTGGGACTAATATTTCCATTTCATTAGCGGGTCGGCATAGGTTGGTGAAAAAAATAATGGATCGAGTAGAAATTGGGTTTTAAGAGATTTTTGACCGGTTAGCTATTTTCGTTTTATATAAAGTTGGGACTTCGTCACTTTATTTTCAGACATCGGATTATATACAATTACACAAATCTTCATTTATTCAATTATTCTATATCATGTTAATATGTTATGTTTCAAGTTTGGTTATACTCTTGTTGTTGTTTATTCGATATTATCATATTAGTCTATTACAAATTTATAATGTATTAATGTATTATTGTTTCATTATTAAATATATATTATTAGGTTATCATTGGATTGTTTTAGATATCGTGTCTTGACCATGTTTTGATGAGTTGCTACTTTGAATACGATAAATCGATTCAGATATCAGATTATATAGAATTACAGAAATTCTCATTCATTCTATATCATGTTAATGTGTTATGTTTCAAATTTGGTTATAGTCTTGTTGTTGTTTATTAAATATTAGTCTATTACAAATTTATAAGGTATTAATGTATTATTGTTTCATTATCAAATATTATCAGGCTATCAGCTTCTTGTTTTAAAGATCGCGTCATAACCATGATTTGATGAATTGGTACTTTGAATACGATAAATCGATAATTGATATTGTAATAAACTAATAATTTAATGTTACGGAACTATATTTGGATGTTTAATTAAAATCACGATTATTCAATTTCCCATTAGTCTAATAAAGTAATAATTGACAATTGTTTGTAACTATTCCATAATTTTGGTGTTAAAGTTATATTGCTGAATTACTTTGTTGTCTTACCCTCTCTAATCACCTTTTAAGATTACGTGCCTACAAGGCTGCAACATATATATGTTGCAACTTGCAAGTTAAAGAAAACGGGTGGGGAAGTAGAAGTATTCAATTAGATCGATCATCAACTGTTTTAAGTTTTAATAATCAGATACATTTATCGATTATCTATACATACCAATGATAGTATGATACCAATCGTACCATACATTATTATTTATTACATATACTGATATACATATAACTAATATACATTAAATATGTCATATTGAATCAATTCCAATTTCCAAACATTTGTGTTTCTTACAATTTATAAGTTACATAAAGTTAAGAGTACAGTAGTGTTTTTATTAGTACGTAGCTATGAATAAAAAAAAACATACTATCCAAATCCATTATCCCATGATCCGTGTCACCGTCTTATATTAAATATCAGCCATTGATTTGCATGTCATCTAACGGCCTATCATCGCACACATTCCAATTCACGATCCGTGTGTTTTCTTTTCCACCAATCAGATCACTCTTACCATCGTCTCTTCAGTACTCTTTTTGATTTCTCTCTCGTTTTCTTAATCCTCTTCTGTAATATTATCAATTTTTTGAAGCCATGGCTGCTAATATGCTCACTGCTCTCTCGTTTTCTCTCTCATCTCCTCTTCCTTCTTCCTTTCTTCTTCTTCCTTCTTCTCCCTTCTTCCGTCTATGTTCTCCTTTCTTCCATCTCGTTTCTCCGTCTCCGTCCACCGGCACCACGCACGACGGTTTTTATGGTCAAATTCGACCACGAAACTCTAGATCTAGTTGTTTCATGATCGAATTTGGCCTTTTAAAACCAAATTCGAGGCCAAATTCAGGATTAATATATAAGGTGTTTTCGTTCTTCCTTTTTTTATTTTCTGTTTTTCTTTTTAATTTTTTTTCAAGTTGTGGGCAACGGAGGGGGCCGAGTTAGGGTGGGTGCGGCGGCGGTTATACTGGGTTCGGGTGGGTGGGGAGGGAGGATTTTTCGAGGGAGGGAGGGAGTTTTATGGTGGGTGAGCAATTAGAGTGAGTTGGGGGGTTTCGAGGATGTTGGGTTTCGTGGGGGTGGGTGGGGTGGGGTTACGGTGGGTTTGGGTTTTTTTTCGATTTTTTTGTATGGGGTGGGGTGGGGTGTGTTACGGTGACGGTGGTGGGTCTGGTTAGGGTTGGGTCTGGTTTTTTTTTTTTTTTTTTTACAGTGACGGTGGTGGGTGGGGTGGGGTGGGGTTTGTTAAGGGGGTGGGGTGGGGTACGTTACGGTGATGGTGGTAGGTGGGGTGGGGTATGGGTCTGGGTTTTTATTATTTACAGTGACGGTGGTGGATGGGGTGGGGTAAGGTTTGGGTCTGGGTTTTTTTATTTACGGTGGGTGGTGGGGTGGGGTGGGGTGAGTTACGGTAATTATGGTGGGTGCGGGGGTGGTGTTAGGGTGGGTCTGGGTTGACGTTGGTGGGGTGGGGGTGGGTTACGGTAACGGTGGTGGGGTGGGGGTGGGTTACGGTAACGGTGGTGGGTGGGGGGTAGTTTTAGGGTGGGTCTGGGGTGACGGCGGGGGTGGTGTTAGGGTGGGTTACGGTGGTGGGTGGGTGGAGGGTGGTTGGATTGGGTGGGTGGCCAAATTTTTTCATTTTTTTATTTAATTTATAACTCCTAATTTAGTTATACAAGAATATAATTTTAATTTTATAATAGCAAAAAAATTTACAAATTTAAATCAATAATTATATGTAAAAAAAATTGTACTGTTAAATTACATTAAACATCAAATATATTTCGTGGAATTCTAACAAATTGTTAAAGGCTGTAAATAGTTCAATTTGAATGGAACGGGTTGTAAACGGTTCGGTTTAAATAGTTTGTAATCGGATCGGTTTAAACGGGTTGCGGTTTGAAAATAGTTCGGTTTAAACAGTTTAATGGGTTATAACAGTTCGGTTTAAACGGTTAGCGGGTTGTAAATGGTTCGATTTAAACGGTTTTTTCCTACAGTTTAAACGGTTTCGGTTTATAAACGGTTCGGTTTAAACAGTTAGCGGGTTAACATTAATCGGTTCAAACGGTTTCGGTTTATAAACGGTTTGGTTTGTTATTGGTTTACGGTTCGTAACGGGTTAACATTAATTGGTTCGGTTCGGTTTCGGTTGACATTATACGGTTCAGTTCGGTTTTCGGTTTAAAATTAGCGGGTTATAAACGGTTCGGTTCGTGATGGTTCGGTTCGGTAACGGACGGTTTCACGGTTCGGTTTGAAAAGTCCCACCCCTACTACCTTACTATTCTTGGCATAATTAATCTGCCAATTAAACCTCTGGTAGCAAAAGTTCATTAATGAGCATTAACATGGATTATCCTCTTTATCTTGGTCAAGTTTTGAAATTTTGTAGAAAATACCATTAACAGATATTATGTTGATTTTAACTAGCATTAACTGTTTATCACCAAAATCCTCTTTATCACCAATTAAACCTCTGGTAGCAACATTTCATTAACGAGTAAAATTTACAAGTAATTATTTTCGTACCAACACATATATAGAGTTTATATTGATTTTAACTGAAAATCATTTTTACTAATGGTTTTAATAAACTTTTTCTAGAGTTATTACCCTACTCTTTTATGAGGAAATACATCACCGTTATAAACAAACAAAATTGCATAATAACCTTTTGTACTATTAAAAGTCTTATTAGTACTACTACGGTTCAGTAAACCTGTATTGCTCTCAGGGGTACTCTTAAAATGTCATTATTTATTGCCATTGCTATGTACTCCGTATTTGTTTGTGCCTAACAGTGAGCCCCTTGAAAGTGCTCCTCTTTTACCGTAGCTTAAAGCCTCTTAATAAAAGTATTTTTTTTTTGTTGGTGTTTAGAGAGCCATAAGGGCGGGGTGAGAATCGATCCCAGAATTTCCTGAAACCGGGACGGAAGCTCAAACCACTCGAGCTTGAGAGTTATGAGACTATCACTATCCTTTCTCAATTCTCACACGTTATCATCCAAATCCGGCTCAATCTATCCATCCAACTCGACCCAATTCATGATCCATTCGGGTGAGTGAGTTACTGAGTTTGGTGACCGGAACCCGAAAACCTTTACCACACAAGGTAAGAACTGGGAAGAGAAGTCTACACTAGCATTAACAGAGAAAGCGACACCCAAAAACACAACAAAAATTTGGTGATAAAATCTCAGAAACACCACCACCATGTTTGTCATTCACAGGATGGCGACCACCACACCCATTACTTTCTCTCTCCTCTCTAACTCCCTTCGATTTCTCACTAAACCCTCTTCTCCTTTCACTTCTTCCCTCAAAAATGGCTTCTCAATCTCCCCTAAAATCTCTGCCAAAAAGCTTGCATCTTTCTCTTCATACATTCCTAGAGGTGGGTTTCGTATTTCTTCTGCTGTTGCTTCTCCTGATTCAATGGAGACCGTAATTAATGAGGATGAGAAGAAATTGGAGGAGGGAAGTTTTTCTGAGG